CCTCTTTTATCCTTCCCTATTTATTTTCATATAATTCTCTCTCATTTTTCTTTTTTTGGGTTTACTTAGAGGAATAGCAAATATGGGGTGTTACAGCCACCAACATTCAACGATCCAAGAGATATTTGTCTGATACGGTCACGATCCGTAAGTACTCAGCACACCAGCCAATTATGGTCATATCCTTTAAACACATCCTTAGGCCTACCACATGTTAGCTTAACATCGTCGTATCTAAAATTTTAAACACAAAAATCTTCAATCCAACGAACATTAACATAACAAGGTCGTGTTTCAAACCCCAAGCACACCCTTAACCTCAACTTAAATCATCTTAACGCGATCATTTCCTGCATCAAACACACCCATAAATTTAATTTATATGTGTTCATGTCTAGGGCCAATCTAAAGACGAGGCAATGCAGTCCTGTTAAGGCTTGTCAATTCATTCAAAATTAAAATTTCACGCATCCAGCCCAGGTCAAGGTATGAAATGCCTTGACACATTTACAACGGCCACAATTCCCCTTTAAAAGAAAGTTGAAACAGTTGGTAATGATCTTCAAATAACAATACACCCTAAGGAACATATTAAACTAGTAAGACTCCAAGCAATAAAGATCACATTTTTGGCAACAAATGAATCAACTCACCCTAACTATGAAAGCTAATGGCAAACATAAAAGGTTGACCCAAAAGGACAACCGTTCCAAAGCCAACGGATAATATCCACATTTGATGCTTATTGCAAAGCGAGTGAACTAAATCATTTTTTAGAAAGAAAAAAAATCAATTGTTTGAGTTCGAACTTTCAACCTTGTTATGGTCCTTAAATTGTATACGATAGATAAGTAACTATTTTCCGAATTCAAATTAAGACTTAAATGACATTATTATGTTCACTGGTTAAACTAACTTTATTTTGAAACCTTGTTTAACTAAATTGACTAACAATTGTATCATTAATAGCCAAAGTTTCTTTTTATCAAATATTGACATTACTCTTCACCAAATATGACTTTGACCCCAAATTTTTTTTGTTAATTTCTATTACTTGAAGGATATTTTTGAAAGAGTTTATGCTCATACCATTCATCTTATACCATGGGAAGAATATTGGCTTGAAACCAATTAATATTCATTGCTTCCACCAAAATATAACAATACTCCAGGTAAACCCAAGAAAGCTAGAAAGAAAGTAGTCGATGAATCGATTAATCCTTACTAAGTTAGTAGAAAAAGGCAATCTCTAAGATGTGGGAACTATGGTGCATGGGGACATAATGCAAGAGGTTGCAACAGATCATTGAATTTCAACAAAACGATTAAGAGGAAAAAACATACACTAAGGAGGGGTGCAAGCAACAATGAAGGCTTATCACCTCAACAAAAGGTTCAAGCACAAATGAAGTCCTAACACCATCTTAAGAATAACCTAGGTTGTTGATTTATCTTTTGTAGATTAGTAAATTGACAATAAGCAGTTTTAGTTTTTATTTTGATTTTATAAGTTGTAGACATGGAAAGCTTTGTATCCATCATCAACACAAATATCACATCTGCCGACGAAAAAATTCTCCAGACCTCTTGGCACTCTAACTTCACAAACTACCAAGTTGGGAGGCTTCTGTTCTAGTCTGGCCGGATAGACCTGCCCAGCCAGCAAATATAGTGGACGAAAAATATCACCATCACTTGGCACATCGAGCACATGACTCTCTTGTACACTTATCCCCTTACACTTTCCATGCATGCATGATCCTTTACACGTCATGGGTCATGCAACCTCACATCTAATGGGACCTATAGTGCTGAAAACATTTATAACATCACACTTTACGCAATATATAAAGGGACTTCAGCTTCCTCACTATTCATTCTCTCCATTCGCTCTCCATTGTTGTTACTTTGCTGAATTCTCTCCTTAGCCATAATTGTAGTCCTCAAAAACTTCCATCTTTGCACGCTTAGCTAGACTGAGGCTAACACAGTAACCCTTTAGAGCTCTAATCTATACCACTTCCTCTCACCCCTTCAGGGATACAGATCTAGATCTTCACACTTTGATTCAGTTCACCACTTCCTGTCATAATTTGCTCAATTGATATGACGTTGAGTATTTTTGGTGTCTTTTTGGAAACAAACATAGTAAACTAACAACCAAGCACGTAGATTAAGTGGTAAAGGGTTGTTTCAGCTTAATCAATGGTCTCGAGTTTGAGTTCTTGGGTACGTAGTTGTATTAAAATTTGGTAGGGAGAGCTTTGCGACCCATATGATCTTACGCAACTCGAATCAAACTAGACGAGTAATTAATGAACTGATAGATAACATTTAAAAAAATGTGTTAAACTATTCAGATCAATTCAAACAAAAATTATTCTATTTAAAATTATACTACTTAAAATTATCATGAGACATACCTACTTCAAAATTATAAAGGTCCCATCATAACCCCAAACTAGTTGAACGAGGAAATTGAAGTTTCATTCATCAGGACTAAGCAGAATGACTCGTTTTACAATATGAGGAGGGGCATCCTCAACCTAAGTATTGTTGGGAAAGGAGAAAGCTAGAAAACAATATGAGTAGCTTTTGGTTTCAAGAACTGTGTACGCTTACCCCAACTTTGTTTTATAAGGTCCTAAACAAAAACAATATCTCATTTAACATATAATTACTGAACTAATCTAGATCTTCTATATTTCTTAAAAATCGGACGCAAATTTTATATACATATCTTAAAAATTATTAATCAGAATAAGAATTGCACGCACTAAAGTTTTTTATTTAACTTCGGGTGATCACAATGTTCATTAGTGAACATCACTTGAACTTTTCTTCTCCGGTTTCAAAAAATCATTATCCAAAAGGTTAGTTGCATTTAGATGCTTAAAATTGCAGGCTTGGTCATATATTTTAGGAAAAAATTCAAAAACTCACCTATGGTCTTACTTTTAATCACTTACACCCTTATGTTTTTTATTCATCACTTTTGCCCCTATTATTTTTTTTATTCAAGTTCATCCTTAACACGGTTAGAAACTTAACTAATCTATTTATTTTACCCTTCATAGAATATACTTATGACAAAACAAAAAAAAAAACTCAATAAGATCAAATATGTTGAAACTTATAATACTTACAAAAAAAATAAAAATAGAAGAAAATAAATTAAATATATCTAAATAAAAAAAATAGACTCAGGACAAAAAATGAAAAAGAAAAATTAATACATAATATATTAGAAACTTATAACAGTAACAACAGAAAAGAGTAAATGCAAAAAAAAAGTCTAAAAAAGAAAATAAACTGAAGATAAAAAATATATAGAAGAAAAAACATGTCTAAATAAAAAAAATAGTTCCAGGACAAAAAATAAAAAAAATAACACCAAATATGTTGAAAATTTACAAATTGATTTTTTTTTCTTTTATTTCTTTTTTATCTTATTTTTTCTTCTATTTTTTTTAATAGTGATAGAAAATAGTTCAAGTGAAAAAATAAAAGGAAAAAATGTTTGTTCATTTATAGGACAATCATTTTAGTTAAAACTGTTATGTTTTATTTAATATTTAAATTAAAAAAAAAACTTTCACTTTTTTCCACCATGATTTCTGTTTTTTTTTTATACATGAAAATGAATAAAAGACAAAGCAAATAAATAAAGACATAAAATAAAAGACTAGCCCTTTCCTTTATGAGAATGAGGAATGTCCGTCACGTCCACATAGAGAAGAAGTTTCAGCAAGCAAGGAGGTTCGTCAAAGATAACATCTTTTAAATTTCTATTTTTCTAATTATAAAACACAATAATTTTGACTAAAATGACACCATTATATAAACATTAATCAAAAATAAAATATGAGAAAAAAATCAAACATATCTAAATCAAAAATAGAAAGAAAAAAAAACCAAATATATTGGAAATTTATAGGTTTCTTATTCTTCTTTTTCTTTTTTTTTGTCTTATTTCATCTTCTATTTTTTTTGTCTTCAATCCATTTTCTTCTTTTTTAATTTAGATTTTTTTTTCTTTTTTTATCATTGTTGTAAGTTTTCAACATATTTGGTCTTATTCATTTTTTTTCAATTTTTCATTCTTAATCTAATTTTTCCTTTTTGATTTAGACATGTTTGCTTTTTTGTTCTTCTATAATTATTTTTTTTACTTTTAATCTTTTGTGTAAGTGTTGTAAGTTTATATTTGATCTTATTTTTTCTTTTCTTTTTTCATCAGTCTATTCTCTTATTCTAAGAAGATTACAATAGGTAAATTATTTAAATTTCTAACCGTATTAATAATGGACTTAGATGGAAAACCCATTTTAAGGTATTAAAATATAAGTGATTTAAAGCAAAACCCCTTTATTTTAAGGTATTAAATGCTAAGGAGAAAGTTTTCCTTTACTCACACGGCTTTGATAACCAAAGGTGCAAAAGGATTACAAGGGTTTGGGGCACGTGAGATTTAATAGTGAATTTTAACAAATATGTTAATTTATTACGATCACAAAGAATAAAGGGTTGATTGAAACATGACCAAAGTTAAAATGAGGTAAGTTATATTTTAGCCAAATTTTATTTATGCTACTAAACAATCTCAATTGTACACCTGCAATATTTTATAAATTCTTGTTTAACTACCAAAAATGCAAACAAATGCAAACTACTTTTTTTCTTTCCATTTTTTTTTTTTTAATTACGGGAGGTTGAAAAGGGTGGTGGAAGACAAGGAGGAACAAGAATAAAAAAATCAAGCACCGGTCTCAATAAATCCCTTAAGCCCCCACAATCCCAAGGCCTTAATTACACATACATTGCCTGATATAAGATGATCAAAGGAAAATCATTAAACACAGGAGATTTGTATAGTTGAGGAAACCAGCGGAATGTACTTAATGGCTAAACAACACGTTGAAATAAGCCAAATTAACTTAGTTAGATAATCATTTCATTAGACAAATGAAAATAATTTGACAAATGAAAAAGGAAGTCTAGGCAGGCATTGATATGTAAGCGCGTAGTAAAGGACACTACTATGTACACAAAATACGACAGTCAAAACTCAAAACCATATGTACACTTAAAAAAAAAGATGGCTCGGCTCTTCAAAGTCAGGACACCGCAGGGAACTACAAAAGTAATTACCAAACATCATTGGCCGCCCTTAAAATACAGCATCCTGCGGCATTTGCTTAACAGATAAAACCTACCACAAACTGTTAATTTCTAACTTAATCTACCTTGTAGGCCCACCCATGTTTTTCCAAAAATGCCTGAACCGCTTCCTTAATGGCCAAGTTTGGTGCTAGCTGTGATGGAGCAAGTGGTTCCCGCGTAACTGGGTCAAAATTACCCACCTATTTCAGGAGAAGTTAAATGATTACCTACTGACTTCATTGAACTGGAAAACATCTCATCTAAAGATGAAACATACAAATCACATTACCTTTTCAAGATGCTCAATGATCACTGCTCTCTCGTATGTAAGTCCACTTGGAGTGATTACAGGATCACGAAAAATATCAAGTGTGATTCTACAGCATAGATAATCTGGCACCTGTAGACTCAACAAGCCAATCGGCCAGATTAATAATATAGAAGTTCCGGGGCACCACAAAAAACATTAATGAAGATACAATTACAAAATCAAGCCATGTACACACCTCAGTAGGTGTGTCATCCTCTGCAGCTTTACTGAAGACTCTTTCTAAAGCTTCTAATTGTTCCAAATGGTAAGTAGTGGCATCATCTACAAATCCTTCCATTTGGGAGGAATCGAGAAAATGTTTTTCCTTTAACGCAGACTCACATGTTTCTCTGAGACGTGAACACATTTTATGATAAAATAAATAAATTTACACTTGGCTAACCAAAATGGTAAAATAAAGAATTAGTTAATAACAAATATCATAGAGACAACTGATCAGCAATCATTAATAAAGACCCTCAGATAATAGGTCTGACAATCACCAGAAAAACATACTTCAAGCTCTGCAATTCCCATGATCGTTTGGACGACGAACGTTCCCACTCTAGGTATTTTGCATTTGCAAGCTCTTGCCATATTTGTTCTACCATATAGGACTTGGGATTGGCACCTCTCCCAAGATCCAAAGCCTTGATTATGAGCACAATAAGTATGAGAATTGTCATTCATTTAAAAAATAAATGGAAATCATTAGGAATAACTTAGAAAAATGTATCAAACAATAAATCGACCAGAAAGTTATATTTAATCAGATGTGAGATCAAATTCAAAAGGAAGCACCATGACACTTAACAGCTCTAGTAAGGCAATATTATCAGACATGTCGCTTGTTGGTAATTTTTAATAAAGTAAAAATCTCTGCTACATAAATAAAGAAAAGATAAGGAAATTGATACATAATAATAATAAAAAAGAGAAACATATGCAAAATGGAACAACTCAAGGGCAATATATTGGGCACTGGCTAAACATGAGTCACAAACTGTCCCTCACATAAACATCTGGATGCTCCTTTGCGTCTGTCAGGAACCTATGGTTGCGTTTGATGCATATTAAAGGACAGCACAAGTAGAACACTAATATACAGATAATTGAGTCAGAACACAACCTTTGTTCAATTTAATATTTGGTAGTCTATGCAATGCACAAGCAATTTTGTCTTGCTGTTTGAAATATGGTAGTCAATGCACTGTTTGTTATACATTAAGGAAATGCACAACAGAATAAGATTTTGATATTTTTTTCTATTTTAATATTAATTTATTTAATTATTTTCACACTCTAATCTTGTTTATAATTTATTAATAATGTTGATCTATTTTTAATAAATTTTATATTCATCGCATAATTATAAATAAAAAGTATAACTTAATTATAATCAACTAGCCATTTTATACTATATTTAATCTATTTCTTATTAGTAGTTGCTGGTGTATTTAATACCAACCAGTATTTCTATTAAAAAATATCAAATGGAGCCTAGCTCCTATAGCAGATCGGCAAAACAAAATTAAAAAAAGCAACACAATACAAACAGATTTATTCCCCCTTGTAGACCTAGCAACCTGGACTAGAGAGTTCCCAAATTCCCCAACCAAAGACTAGTGTAATTCTTTCATGCCCCTTCTCCCTGTTTCCCCTGTTCCATATATCGTTTTCCCATCACCAATTCCACTCCATCCCACATCCTCCTCTCCATTTAGAATCTGCCAGTTGTCCCCTCTAACCAACTTCATTTATCTCTCCACAACCACCTTCCCATTATCACTGTTAGCAACAGCCCCCATATTCTTCGGCTCATTAACTTGGATCCCTTTATTAATCTTTTTACATGCATATACAAACTTAGGCCCATCAACACTCCCCTTGCTTGTCCTCAAAGTGAAGGAAGATGATAAGGACCTTGGGATGTACCACCCCAAAAGCTAGCTCAAAGGATGGCAGTGTCCGAGGCCTTATAAACCCCACATTAGTTACCTATACAACCAATGTGGGACTCCAAGTCTCATACCTTGCAAATGAGTCCTAACATTCCACCACGCTCCGCAGTCCTGGTGCCCACCCGGGCTGGCTTTGCGTTAGTCTTTTACTAGCCCTGGCGAACACTACAATGTCAGCGTCACCACTCGCGCCGCTCGATTGCAACTGGGAGACATAGTGGAAGGCTCTGATACCATTTGATAAGGACCTTGGGATGCACCACCCAAAAGCTACCTCAAAGAATGAGAGTGTCTGAAGTCTTGTAAACCCCACATTAATTGCCCATACAACCAATGTGGGACTCCAAGTCTCGTAGCTTGCAAATGGGTCCTAACATAAGAGGTCAAGATCCAACCACAAGTGTGAGAGACACTTCCACCCATATCCCATTACTTGAAGCATATTAACCAGTTATGCTTGAAGCAAAAGAACCAAAAATGGAATACCCACCCAAGGGCTCATACTGCTATTCAACAAACTCTAAACTCGATTTGATCAATTGATTCAACTCAATAAATATACGCTCCTTCATTTGCAGAGATTAACTTCTGAAGATCAATCCCCATATCCTTCCATGGAGCAATATTGACAAAAACACTTGGCAAAAGAAGCTCAGGAACTTCAGTTTTAAATAGAACAGTATCTTGACCCAATCCGTTGATCTCCAACATGACCTCTCCCTCTCTTTCCTTCCTTCACACTCTCATCGTCAACTACGCTTCTCATGCCTATCCACGGATTCTCAGCCATGGCCAATGGGGAACTGCACGAGTCATGTCTCCATGGCTGTCGCCTTGAGTTTACTCTTCTCCCGCTTCTCCATCCTACTTCCAATGGGAAATACATGACACTATAGTGATATGGGTTCAGCTGAAGTTGTTGCATCTTTCCCTTCTTAAACAAACTTATTTTGTGCCTCGATCTCTGCCTCAACCTTCTCCATCTTATCCGCCAAAAGAGTGCCGTCGGAAACCATGCTTCTTGATTTCAAAGATTGGTCTCTCCATCTTCTCTATCAACTCATCTAGTATCTTTACCATTTTGTGCATCATTTCTTTTAATTTTGACATGCTGGCTTACTGCAGAGCTCCAAAATGTACTAGCACGGCTTTCACTCTCTCAAAGTTCCGTACCATTAAGGATCCCTTGAATTGGAAGTGCTCTGATACTAAATTGTTGGAACCCGTATTTCTGTTTAAAAAATATCAAATGGAGCCTAGCTCCTACAGAAGATTAGCAGTACAAAATTAAGGAAAGTAACACAAATACAGATAGATTAATGACAGTAAACTAGTCCTAATTACTCATATGGTGTGACCCTACTCAACCTAAAGGCCTAAGCAACCTGGACTCTGGAGTTCCTAAATTCGCCAACCAAAGACTAGTGTAATTCCTTCATTCCCCTTCTCACTGTTTCCCTACTCCATATGTAGCTTTCCCATCACTAATTTCACTCCCTCCCAACTCCTCCTCTCTATTTAGAATCTGCCACCTGTCCCCTCTAACCAACTTCATTTCTCTCTCCATAACAACTTTCTTTCCGTTATCACTATTAGAAACAGCCACCATATTCTTAGGCTGATGGACATGGATCCCTTTATTAATCTTTCTACAGGTACATACAAACTTAGGCCCATCAGTATTCAATCTTCTTATTTTTATAAGTTGCTCAGGTAGATTCAAACATATAGGAGGAGGGCATAAACATAAAAAATTGAAGCTTTAAATTAAAATGAGTCATCCACAAGAAAAAAATTTCCACAAACACAATGATAAGATATTTGCCAAAAAATGTTGCGCATGTGAGTGGGAGACTTGCGTATATATATATAAAGAAAACATCTCTTACTCTCATATTTAGCAAAGTTAAGATTAAAATCTGATTATGCCGAAAAAGGACATGTATCGAAAATGTAAAGAGTCAATTCAACCCAAAAGCTTAAACTGGTAGGTAAAAGCCACATTAATGGTTTTATATCCTATTTCTCTAACAAAACATTTAAAAGAAATAATAAGACTTTTCACAAAATATTTTAGAACACGAATTTGAAGTGCAGGTCCTTTCAATTAATTTGATACTATTTTTAAAACATAATAGTAGAGATACTACTCTAATGCAACGTCGTATGACATAGACATTATATGTAAAGAAGAAGAGGGTGAAGGAAGGAAGATTGAGACAATACTAGGATAAGGATTTAGTGTGTAAACTAGTTTTTTCCTTTGTTGTGTAGTGCAAAAAATTTTGTCCCCCTGATTTAGGGATTAAGAAAATTAAGAGTTTTGCGCAGTCCCTTGGGGCTGTCAAGTGCTTCAACCATTCTACAAGTCAAACAAAGCATAAATTTTTTATGCGGTGCTATCCCTTATTTATTAGCAAATCAAACGCACCCAAGTGCATGGTTGTTAAAACCTATGAAGCACCGACACTTCAAGAACCCTGACGTGTTGTGTCCGACAATTCCCGACACTCTTCGACACTCCCCCACACTCCAACACACATTATAGAAATTCAAAAAAAGATTCAAAGGTTGCGCTGAGTTTTTAGTTCTAACTATTAGATTCGTTGGATTACGATTACCATTTTATTGAGTTTAATATAAATATTTGGGATATCTTATGTTTCTTTGCAAAATTGATGAATATTGTAAGTTTAGTTTCATTTTTTCGTTAAATTATCGAATATTAAATATAATATACACTACATAAATTAAAAGTATTATTTAATATCAAAACGTGTCGAAATCTAACATTTTTTAGAATTAACGTGTCGGAGTATCGTATTGTGTCACGTGTCCCGTATCGGTATAGGTACGGTGCTACATAGGTTAAAACGTAGTGTCGAAACGTAAAAACGGACGTTTTTACATTTTTTTTGAACAAAAATGTGTCGAAACGGAAGTAGAAACGGGATCTAGGTCGAAACGGTTGAAACGTAGTGTCAACTCGGTAAACTCGGTTGACTCGGCGAGTTTACTGAGTTGACTCGATTCTAAAAGAAAATAAAAAAATCCTTGTCGTCCTTGCTTCTTCACCCAGTTGCATCGTTCTTCTTCTTCTTCGCCCAGTTGCATTGTTCTTCTTCTTCACCCAGTTGCAGCGATGCAGACATCTCCATCTATCTTGTAGTGCTGCGCTGTGCTTCTGCCTTCAGCTCAATCATAGTCACTGGCTCACTGCACTTGTTCACAAGCACCCATCTTGTAGCATCCCTTTCAATGGTCCATTAGTTTTGCCTAATCTTGTGCTTAAAAATATGCCCCTTTCCATCTTTTCGCTTTCACTACTGTTATTACTTATCACTCTCAGCGTGATTTATCTTCCTATATTCTTAGCATTTTTTATTGACATAAATGGTTAGAAAAAAAATTATATTTCGTTCTATATACGTGTACATGACTATCACCTAATTGAATGCATTTCTTTTTTTCTTTTTTTACTACTTGAATGCCTTTCTTAGTTTTTTTTACTACTAATTATTACAAATTATAATTGTTAGAATATACTAAAAACATTGGTTGAAAGTTGTTTTATAAATTATAATACCATTCTATATAATAAAAACATTGTTAGAATATACTAATTATAAATTATAGTTCCTTTCTATATATTGGTGTATTTTAGTTTTATATATGTTGTATATATATATATATATATTGTTCATACTAAACTCTTACGTTTCACGATTTTACGTTTCTGCTCACCCCTACCGTTTCGACGTAGACTCTACGTTTTAACAACATTGCCCAAGTGTCACTAATGACATCCCTTTTAACATGGTAGTGCAACTCAAAATCCTGAAAGGAAAAATGGGGTGAATGCACGAAAGTCAGAGAGAGAGAGTTAAACCTCAATGCCCCAGTCTTCAATGGTGCAGCAAACACTATTCTACATGCTCCCCTAGATATTGGGCTAAACAACATGGAATGAAACAATAGGCATAAAAATCTGAATTTAAACCAAATATTATTAATCCCTATTCAACCAGTGTAGTAATTTGTACCATCCCAACAGAAGAAACACCTCTACTCACTATATTATATATCTTTAATACATTTTTTCCACTTACACTAAAGTCAAATATGTTAGATATAAAATTTAAAATACAAGAAAAGCAAAAGAAAACTAGGATTTTATTGCAACTCTCACCAATCCAGGTTTGAAGTGAGGTGAACTGCATTTTAAATAATTACTGAATAATGCACATTTTGAGCCTTTCATATGATATTCAATTATTCATGCATATATTCTTCACAACTTACCTCACGACGGTTTTAGAATCTCAACTTGATATTTTGATTGTCCACCCCCCCTCCCCCCCCCCCCCAACAAAAAAAACCAAAACCAACATCGCACGTTTTTATGTGATATTCATATACTGACTTCTCACTCGTCTCCATCAAACCCATTGACCATTGACCATTTTCATGTCATGTATGAGAGGCATAAATATGTTGCTTTGACCTAATTAAAGGCAAATATATACAATATTAACATTTAGAAAGAATGAAAAGCAAAACTATCTCTTGTTTGAAGAAACCTCAACAAAACTAACTTTCATTCAAAATGACACCAAACAAAATACAAGTCATAATTTCTAGAATAAAAAACCACAAATAATACCAGGGGAAAAACACAAAATATGATATCATTCTATTATCTTTTAATACTTACTTTCAGGTTGTTCTCTGACATTTCTCAAATGCACAAAATCATAAACAGAAAAAAGGGTAGTAAAACTTTGTGCAAGTTAAACACAAAGTTAAGAAATTAACAAATGTAATAAAGAATGACAACATTAGAAGCACTAAAGAATTTCATGCAAGAAATAGAAGAAATTAACAAATGTGCATGAAACGCAAAGAACATGTGTTCAATGATAACAAACCTTCTCCAATTCTCTGATTCCCTTGGCATATTCTTGTTTTTGTAGTAATGCAAGTCCCAACATATAGTGTGCCTGAAATATATACAAAAGAAATTTCAGCTAGAAACAAGATAATCAAAACAAAGCACAGATACTAACAATGAAAAGATAAAAGATCATCATGCAACAAATATCAGATATAAAATGCTGCCGCCACAGACTCTCATACAGCCAGTGATTTCACTAAACTCTAGACAACAGCTCTCCCACAAACCAATACACAATATCCGTGGATGAAATTGATAACTCAATACAGAATCTTCTTCCAAAGTTAACCCCGAAACAAGGCATATACAAGGATATAGATGTAAATAGATAAATATTGTTAGAATAAATTGGTAATTAATGTATTAGAGCCCTAATTAATAGGCAATCTTAGGAAATAACTATACATGTAATTATGGTTGTAATTAACACTCACTAGCATTAATACCCCTGTTTTGTCTGATTTAGGCAAACAGCACAGTATTCATTGCATCACTAATATAACAACGAGAAAATAAGTCTTCAGGTTTTCTCCAAGAATGTTTGGACACAAATACTTCATCTCAGAGGTTAACAGCAAAGATCAGCATCTTACATATCTAACTAAAAGCATGACACACTTTATAATTTTACCCCATAAACAGCAAGTTAATGAAACAGTAGGTTTTTAGAACATCACAGGTCAGAATCAAGACAAAAATTACAATCGCATGTATTCCTATCTGATACGAACCTTGAAAGAGCCCAAAGTTCATACAAACCCCCACATTAGAACCTTATGTTTCCGATATGAGACTCCAAGTCTCATACTTTGCAACAGGATCGTAACACAATCTCTGACTACATAATTCTTAAAACATTGAATAGAATGCCAAAAAAATAAAAAACCAGAATGACCAATTTTTCATTGAAAGAAAAAGAAATCGTTAAACTCCTGGCTTTGCAAACCGGGCCAACTTCTGAACCCTTTAATAAGTTTGGGAAGGTGGTGCTGAAAAAATACCAATGGAGATTTTTTATTCTTTTATTAAAATAAAGGTAGTTAGAATCAAAGGAAATACTTGTAATTTAAAATGGCACTTCATTTCAACCTATATGTTTTTCACCTCTACCAAGCACAGAATTAGTCCGTGAGATTACAAAATCTAGCATTGTTTACACAATCCAACTACCAAAAAAAAAGGATCACTTCAGATTTCCAAAAAGCCCTTTTGAAATGGATAGATCCTACAGCAACTATCCTAACAGGTTTGACTTCAAGAAATAATTGGAAAAGAGAAATAGTCGAAACCAAGGAATTGATTTAGAAAGTCACAACTGATGCAGCCCAGGAATTGGCTTAAATTTTGTTGGACAGAAAGGAAAATATGGGAATAGGTCGGGAAGTAGTGTGAGATAAAAAAATTTGCGTGGGACAAATCCACCTTCTTGGATAGAAATCTAACATGAATAGAATTCTTAAAATTGTTGCTAATTGATGTTTCCCCAGAGAAACTTCACATTTCGATATTCTATTGCCATCATGGAGATTCTTATGCCATGTATATCACCAAGCATAAATACACCTACCACAAGACGCAACTAAATATGCAACAAACTCATTTCAAAAAGGAAATTCAATACACTTAACCAATGAATGAAGCAATAGAAGCTAAACAGATACTCAAACATGCATGAGACAAAAGGCATTACAAAAATTACAAGGAGATCGATCACAAAGACCTTAACCGAATTGCTGTCAAGCTGAATCGCTCTTCGAGAGTCTTCCTCTAATCTCTCCCAATCACTACAACCAAACCAAACACATAACAAACACATAGTTTTAGTTTCCGGTCGCAGTCACACTTCATTGCCATTATTCAAATGCAACCGTAATTGCAGTCACAATGTGGTTGCTAAGACAAAAAATTAAAACCCTAACCAAAAAGTAAACCCAAAAGAAGAAGAAAATTCAAAAAATAAAAAAATTGCAAAATCAAAATAGGCATATGTAGGTGCCAATACATACTTGCGTTTGAGATGGCACAGAGCACGATTCGTCCAATAAACCGCAACATCAGGGCACAGCGTAATAGCCTTTAAAAAAAAAAAAAAAAAAAAAAAAGCTCAAGTAAGGAACCGAAGAAAACAAGGGTTAATTAAAAGAGGAAGGTTTCGAAAGAACCAAAATGTGATTAACGGTAACGGAAGAATACCTCGGTGTAAGCATCGATGGCAGCGCCGTAACGGTCTTTTTTGAAGTAAGAGTTGCCGTCTATTCTCAGCTGCTCCGCTTGTTTCGCCACCGATGAGATGGAACTACCGTTTGGGCTCATTTCTCTTTTTCTCTCTCTTGAAAATTCCATCTCACATGTAAATGTAGTATGTATTTAGTAAAGTATAAATGTATAGATATAAATAGAAATATTATGTTTGTATGATTGTATGTCTGGGTAGGTTGTGGAAGGAGAAAGAGAATGGGAATGAGAATTGTTGAGAATTTTCGAGATGGAAGAAGAGGAAGAGGCTAAATGGAAATTAAAATTGACTCGCTTTCTTTTTCTGCGTTTCGGTTTCAGGGTATAGGAGCCATGATGATCGAGTGACTGGTCGGGCACCGTAATTACAAGACAGGACGGTTTGGTTGGGCACAAAACTAGGTTGATATAAAATAATAATAAATTATATGTTATTTATTAATAATAATACCTGTGAGGCTTAAAAATAATTTTAATTTTCAAAAAACATAAATAATTATCTTATAAAAGATAAAATTATTTTTTATAATTTAAAAAATGTTGTTTTGAAATTCAAGAAAAAAATATAGAATATTTCAATAAAATTTATTAAATAATAAAAAATAAAATTTTTAAGATATTCTAAATTTTAAAATCACGTTATTTTAAGATAATTTTATCTTGAGAAATATTTTTTCTATAAAAAATATAAAGAAAAACACTAATAAATGTTTTGTAGCTGTCATATCAGTTATCACGTATGCATAAGATGATAGGAGAGGTTTTTAAAAAAAAAATAAAAGAGGCACAATTTTCAAAAAGTCACCAACAAGAGAAAAACCTTGTCCAGCAATTGGAAAAAGTGTTTTTTCAAATATATTATGCGAGAAATCACATGTGCATGAATTATTTACACGCATACATTAAATTATGTCTTGTTGAATAACGTTATTAATATAAAGGGATTTATAATTATTATGTGGTAGGAAGTTGACTATATCATATCATAGATAGATCGAAATCCGTGCTTTTTCATTTTTTATTTTTTAAAAATGACGGGATCCATGTTTGGTGTCTCCGCAGGAAAAACAAATTTTGTCTGTCACATAATATCTGTAATCCCCTACTATAAAATAGGGAAATATATCCTTTTATATTTTATTTTAACATAATAATGTTTCATCTTTTCATAAATATGTTATTCGAAAATTTACAATTTTTTATTGACACATCAATTATGATTTGTAAAATAAATAAAATAATCATTGTTCTTAACTAATCTTATAGGTCCATATCTTAACAAAAGAATAATAATTATCCTATCACTAAAAGATAGAGTATAAATCACTAATCTCATCTCACTCATATAAGTAGGACTTTAGTATTCTATACCTACCGATAACCCATATATAAAAAGGGGATTAAACTTACTAATTAATTGCACTTTGCTCATTTATTCTTTAGTTATTACTGTGTACACATCTCACCATCTGATTATGTTATAACTATTTATGCACATCTGCAATTTCTTGTAGTATCTTCTCCATAGACATTTGCGTACCAAACTTTGAATATTCTCTATCCTCTGGGATCAATCAATCATTTTAACTATTGATTATCAATTTACCAATAAATAACCGATCCCATTATATTAAAATGAGACATAAAATAATTCAATTCCAAATATTACAGCCCATGGCAGTCGGAACACTTTGCTGGTTAGGTTATTGAGAAATTTGAAATTTCACCTTTAGATCAAACGGGCCTTCCTTTGGTTGCTCCATCTTCGTAAGACTAATGAAGATGGAATTGAAATTTGAAATTCTTGACTAATGTTGCAATTGTTCTCATTTGTGGAAGCAGATTAGAAACTGATAGTGAAATAATGGTGCATTAAATAACTTTTAGTCTCGTATTTGAATGTGTCTTTTCCAATTCGAAAGTGATTGAATCAATGCATTAAAATATGTCGAACACATCTTTCCAAGTTGGATTGCAATTTCACGCCCATTTCCAACAAAACTACTTCGATAATTCTAAGGAAACCAGCATGCTTGTTAGGCTATCATCGTCTGTATTCACATAATCTAACTGAACTAGGATGCAATTATTAATAATTTATAACTTTACTCAAAAATAAAATAAAATTAAAATTAAAAACTCCATCTAAGCACAAGAAAAATATAAAGAAAAAAAAAATGGCAACCTAGCTATGTTGGAACAATAAAGCTATATAGAGCATGTTTGGATCCTCTTATTTTTAAGCTAGAAGCTACTTATAAGTTAAAGCTAAAAAAAAGAGTTTAAAAAAAGAAGCTAAAAGCTGTTTGAAAATTACATGAAAATTTTAGCTTAAAATTTCAAGAAAATTATCTCTCTCTCTCTATCTTTATCACTCTTCATTTTAAAAAAAAACACACAATTCAAGAAAAACAGACAAGAGCTTAAAAAAAAGCTACTCCTAGGAGCTTTTAATTTTCAGCTTTTTTCTTCATTATAGAAAAAAGAGCTTTTCATTATAAGAGCTTTTTCCAAAACCTGTTTGGCCTAGCTTATGCTTATAAGTAGCTTCTAGCTTAAAAAAAAGAGGATCCAAACATGCACATAATTTATTGGATTGCCCCGTCCGATCGTTCTTGTGAAAGGGAGAGCAAAGAAGAGAGATTGTGAATATATTATTAATATTATTATTGATGCATATAAATGGACAGTACAAACAGAACAATATTGCATATGTGGTTCGGTCACAGGACAGTTTTGTGTTCTTAGTGATGACCAATGCACACGATCAAAATTTTATATATTTACGAGGTATGTGCGAAATATTTAAAGAGAAAAATATTTGTCCTTTCAAATGACACAATTTATGTTATGAGGTGAGTTTCACGCCTTTATATTTTTGTGTCCACTATCTCTCCTCATTTATCTATTTCTTTCTCTCACTTAAAATGACACAACTTTACATCCTTTAAAATGATATACACTTTTTCCATATTTAAATAATCCAAATCATAAAAGAAATGAGATCAAACCAGTTAAAAAATTCTTCTTCTTCGTTTTAACGGTTCATAAAATCAAACCGTTGTTTAATTTTTAATGAGGTTCATTTATGATGTTGTCACAATAGTTTAGATATTCTCATTGATAAACCTCTAGTTTTAAGAGCTAAAATTATATGAATTATCTAGTCAAATGCATGAGAATTAGAGTTAATTAGAGTTAATTAGTGAAAAAGCATGAACTATTGAAATATGAACTAAATAATTGATTTTTACTTGTTTTGAAGGTAAATTAGTATAAAGTGGAGCAAACATGAAGTTCAAAGACTTGAAGCATGGAATTGAAGATCATAGAAGTCACAAAGCACATAATAGAAGCAAGTTCATTATTTGAAGAGGACGCTTAAGCTCCTCATTGCGAGCTTAAGCGAATAAAACGCACAGAAATAGTAAAACGCTTATGTAATAGAGTGCTTAAGGGCACTCAATTGCGCTAAAGCATTGTTATGCTAAAGTTTCTCTTCGAAGAGAGCGCTTAAGCTCGTTACAAGGAAGCTTAAGTGAGCTAACGCGAGTCTGCATTACCGTCCCAGAGAGCTTAAGCTCGCTTGTCTGCGCTTAAGCTCCCATTACGACCCAACTTAGGCCCATTTGATGGTTTCCACTTAGGGCACTGACTCTTCAACCTTTTAAAGGGAAATTGTAGAGGGAATTGTATCTTTGGATCACTTTTGGAGAGTTAAAGCAGAGTTTGAAGCATAGAAGCATGTAGTTCATGTTCTTGAGAATCAGAGACGGGTTTAAATCACGTTTGCACGGGAAGTCTTGAAGATTCACCATACTATCATATCAATGGAGTTTGGGGAAGATTTATCATTTTCTTTTGTTCTTGATTCTACCATGTTAGACTAAGTTTTTATCTGTAGTTAGGGTTAGATGGAACATAATTGATCTTTTATGTTTTAAATGAATTCTTGATGTTAATCTTCCTTTTTATTTTGAATGAAGTTATCTTTTCTTAATTCTTCTATGAGTGAGTCTTGTAGATTGATCTAAGGTAAATGTATGGCAATAGGAATGTTGGTACATGATCTGTACATGATAATTTCATCGTAATCCTTATGATTCTAGGGATAGACATAGGATTTTATGCAATCATATGATTCTTGAACGTAAGGCTTATTTTCTTAAGGAATAACCGGGGAACTAGGGTTCTTTCAAGATTATAAAGATTTAGAGTGTCATGGGATTGAACCCTAATTAAATTAGTAGAATCGATTGGCTTTATATTAAGGACGTTTAATCTGAAAGAGGTAATTCAAAACATAAAGGGGATATTATGGGAAGTTGAAACCCTAGCTACATTTCTTATCTGTCAAGCAATTTGAATTTTACATTCTTGTTCTTGTCTTTATTTATTTTTATAAATTTCGAATCCAAATTAAAATTCATAATTGATTGTCCAACTTAAGCGAGAGTAGTGAATTAATGATTGAAATTATAATCCTCGTGGGAATGATCCCGTACTCGTTACACTTTATTATTTGTACGACTGGTGCGCTTGCCGAAGTCGCAACACCCATTAACAAAACATTTTAAAGTTTAAAACAGGGGCGTTCTTATCTCACGTTCCATCCAACTACAATATAAACTTCTCTTTCTCCTCAACCACCACCACTCTTCATCTGTCCATCACTCATTTCCTTTTACTTGGACTTGAACTTGAACTCTTTTCTTTTTCTTTGTTTTGAACTTCAAAACAGCAACTTTGAATTAATCTGTTACACTTGTTGATCGGAGTGGAAGAAAAGAGAGAAAATGTGAAGAAAAAAGATAGAGAAGAAACTAATACTGATATCAATTTTTTGCATGCATGCTTGTACATCGTTACAACTTATTTATATAACTACAAAAGAGAGTACAACACCTTCACTCCCTAACTTTTCACTCTTAAACTACTGCTTATTATAACAGACTATAACAAATTTGCACCCGCGTAACTCCACTCCCACATCATAATGCAAAGTCCTTCAACAAAGGCAGAGTTCTTCTCTTTCGTGCAGACTTATTTCTCTTTACTAGAACTTCTTTATTCCCAAGTAATATGTGTAGATATAATGTATGTTTTGATGATTACAAAGTGGCAACAACAAAAAGAGAAAAGTATTAATCAAGAGCAAAAAGCATCAATCATATGTGGATATTAAAGATGTATGATATAGCCACACAAAAAGAGTAATGACATATCAAAGTGGCAAAATCATTGGATCAAGAGCAACAAGGAATAATTAGAAGAGCAACACTAAGATCA